AGTCTCTCAAGCTTTAAAAGATGAGCGTTGGCGGAAGTCTATGTCTGCTGAATATGACGCTCAACTAGGCAATCACACATGGGACTTGGTTCCTCCTCATCCGTCTCAAAATGTCATCGGTTCCAAATGGGTGTATACGACAAAATATCATCCCAATGGACAGCTGAATCGGTACAAATCAAGGCTCGTGGCTAAAGGCTTCCATCAACGTCATGGAGTTGATTATGCTGAAACGTTTAGTCCCGTTATCAAGACAACAACAATTAGGCTGGTTCTTGATGTTGCGGTGGCTCAATCCTGGCCGATCAAACAACTTGACGTTAATAATGCTTTCCTACAAGGTGAATTAACTGAAGAGGTGTACATGGTGCAGCCGCAAGGTTTTGTTGATCCCGATAGGCCTAGTCATGTATGTCGTTTGCGGAAGCCGATCTACGGCTTGAAGCAAGCTCCCCGGGTTTGGTACTTGTCACTTAAGCAACATCTACTCCAAACGGGTTTTATCAATTCTCTTGCTGATACATCCTTGTTCATTAAGCGCAATGGCACCTCGTTTGTCTATGTCTTGGTCTACGTTGATGATATTCTTGTCACAGGAAATAATTCAGCCCTTGTTACACAAACGCTTACTTCCTTTGGTGAACGCTTCTCCATCAAAGATCCCACGGATCTCCATTATTTTCTTGGTATAGAGGCGACCCGAACCAAAGCTGGTCTTCACTTGATGCAACGCAAGTATATTCTCGATCTTCTCACAAAGAGCAATATGCACGAAGCCAAACCCGTTGCTACACCGTTGGCTCCTTCTCCTAAACTGTCGTTACATAGTGGTTCTTTGCTCGATGATCCTTCTCAATATAGGTCTGTAGTTGGCAGTCTTCAATACCTTGCGTTTACTAGACCGGATATTTTTTATGCAGTTAACCGCTTGTCGCAGTTCATGCATAAACCTACCACAGATCATTGGCAAGCTGCAAAACGTGTTCTTCGGTATCTTGCGGGCACTCCAACACACGGTATTTTTCTCCGAGCCTCATCACCACTGGCACTACATGGTTTTTCAGATGCGGATTGGGCTGGCGATGTTGATGACTATGTCTCAACTAATGCTTATGTCATCTATCTTGGTCATAGTCCCATTTCTTGGAGCTCTAAGAAACAACGTGGTGTTACTCGTTCTTCCACCGAAGCTGAGTATAGGGCTGTTGCGAACACCGCCTCTGAACTCCGCTGGCTTTGTTCTCTACTTAACGAGATGGGTCTCACTCTCCGCTCTCCACCAATTATATATTGTGATAACATTGGGGTTACTTATCTTTGTGCAAACCCGGTATTCCACTCTCGTATGAAGCATATTGCTCTTGACTATCACTTCACTAGAAATCAGATTCAAGATGGTACGTTACGGGTCTCTCATGTCTCGACGAAAGACCAGTTAGCAGATGCACTCACTAAGCCTCTCTCTAGACAGCAGTTTCTTACAGCATGTTACAAGATTGGTGTCACAAGAGTCCCTCCATCTTGCGGGGGTGTATAAAGATGTATAGATATGTGGGTCTTAATGTAATTAGTTATCTCTAAGTTACTAAAGTGTCTGTATATATATGTGTAAACTCATTATCAATAATAATAACATTCATCCTCTTTAGGTCCAAACTCAACTTAGGACGTGGAACATCATATACGTATGTGTAATCAACTAATCATTTTACTTTTGACCGCTAATAGATATGTTATTTCTAAAAAGGATAAGATGAAACTTTCGACTTAATTTCACAAGACTTAATTTCACAAGAAGTTGAAACCATGACTGACATTTTGGTCAAATCAAAGACATATGAGTATCTGATATGTTTTAGTATGTTAGTCAAAATTTAACATTGAAAATAATTATTTTTGAGTCTAACTATATCAAAATTTGGTTTCACAGAGATAATTATGCAACAAAAATATTAAAATTCAACTACTTAGCAACGGTACAAATCAGGCAACCAATACTAGGGACTCATCACACTTTCCATTCGTGGACTCTCTTCTTCTTGTCTCTTTGAATCTCCCTACCGACCAAATAAATAAATATTTTTTTTTTATTTTATGTATTATTTTGTGTATTTTTATCTTTATGGCCACATGCGTACCGAAGCTTAATTTGACCGTCATGCATATGCCGTAATCTAAGAAAAGAATATTATGAGCACGTCCGTATTAATAGACACCAAACCACAGAGACTAAACCTCATCGTTCAATTCCTATCCCACAAAAAGAAAAAAGAAAAAAAGAGCTGTGAGTTCGATCAGTCTCGTCAAAAGTGTAACTCATGGGTCTAATGAATGGTTCGAACAATGATGCGGACGTAAAGCTGTTAGGAGCATGGCCTAGCCCTTTTGTCCTGAGGACTCGGATCGCACTTAACCTAAAGCATGTAGCGTACGAGTATCTAGAAGAGGAAGATACTTTGAATTCTGAGAGCGTTTTAAACTATAACCCCGTCCATAAACACATCCCTATACTCATCCATGGAAACAAATCAATCCGTGAATCCCTCAACATCGTCATGTACATCGATGAGACTTGGCTCTCCGGTCCTCCCATCCTTCCCTCTGATTCCTTTGATCGTGCTGTTGCTCGCTTTTGGGATGTCTATGTCGATGAACACGTAAGTCATGTTTCCATAGAGAAACTTTATATATATATACATGATCAAACTTTTTTATATATGTCTGAAGTTGATAAAATCTTATATTTCTTACAAACATTTAATTTACTTTTGGTTGTGCGTGAAAAATAATGTCTTTGTTTAGAATTGTGTAGTATAATTAACTTCCATGAATCATAAAAGTTAATTAATTTGTATCTTTTTGTTATTTTTTATATAGTGTTTCACATCAATCAATGGAGTGGCAGTAGCAAAAGACGAAGAGGAAAGAAAGGCGGCGATAGCGAATCTAGAGCAATGTATGGCTTTATTAGAAAAAACGTTTCAAGAATGCAGCAAAGGGAGAGGCTTCTTTGGAGGAGACAACATCGGATTCATCGATATAGGTTTCGGGTCCATGTTAGGTCCTCTTAAGGTTCTTGAGAGATTTACCAGCGTCCATTTCATACATCCGGAAAGCACACCAGGCTTTTTCCATTGGGTGGACAGATTCTACGCCCACGAAGCAGTCAAGCCGGTCATGCCGGATATCGAAAAACTGGTCGAGCTCGCTAAGCTCAAGTTCAATACTTCAATCTTTAAATGAAAACACCAAAGACTCATAATAATTACTATCATAATCGAGTTCATGGAATAAGGAGATGTAAACTCGATTTAGTTCAAAAAGGCGCAGTCAAAAAAGTTCTTTCGTTTTTCTTTTCTTCTTATGTATGCAAAGATAATCAAATCGTGGCACGTGATAATGTTTTGGTAATTATCCGATAATTATGACGATATAGTATGAGCAAATTGAATGTCAATATTTTTATATTTAAAGCTAACTATCCCGTGAAAATCCATCACGTTTCACAATTGGAGGAAGCACTATGTAACAGCCTTATAAGTAAATACATAGCTAGTGGTGACATAACGAGGACAATCAGACAATGTATAAACCTAAACTGTTTATAAATTCAGATAGTCAAACATGCTCTTAAGAACATGCGGTAACATTTGGGAGTCTACTAGAGATATAAAGCCAAACATGTTCTTCAGAATCCTAAGCGAAAACGAAATTATAAAATTTTGACATTAATTGTAACCTAAATCATCAGAAATTCAGAATATTAAATATTTAGTCCAAAACGTTAGTACTGAATTATATATGGATTTTTTTTGTTCAAAAGTGGCGACGAGAATATTTCCAAAAAAATAGTGCCGACTTAGAAATCAAGCAACAAGCAACAAAATACACACACTATTATATTACCATGAGTCCATGATATGTAGTTGTAGTCTCATTCTATTAGGTTTTTTGAGTCTCTGTCTACCTACCTTAAATCTTTAAAATAGTCAGATTAAGAACCTTGGTTGGAAGTCAAATGAATCTTGGCCGTCGGATGTTTCCATCCTCCCTTCACTTCCCTCCGATCGTGACTTTGCTCGTTTTTGGGCTCACTTCGTTGACGGGACGAATTTTATAATTGTTTTTAATTAATAGAAACATTAACGAGATAACTAGCAAATCAGTCGTTGTAGTATAGTGGTAAGTATTCCCGCCTGTCACGCGGGTGACCCGGGTTCGATCCCCGGCAGCGGCGTTTAAGTATCGATTTTTATATAGCATGGAATATATTGTATATGTTAAGTTTTTGAATTTTGGTAAGTGAATGAAGAATCCTGAAATCAAAACAGAAACAAATCTTTGATCCCTATCTTTTAAAAGACAATTAGTGAAAATTATGGAAACATCATTTTCGTTTGCTTGATGAAAAAGAAACTTAAACCAAAAATATAACGACTGATTGTACACTAACTTTGGATCGGTAGATGCAGTGGCCGGAGCGAAAGACGAGTTTGCCAAAAAGAAGTTCAATGTTTAGTGATATTCGTAATAGAAAATTTGTATTTTGACTGAGACTAAATGTGTGAAATCTGATTTTTTTTTTTTTTTTTTTTTTGGTTTCTTAATTAAGAGAAAAAAAAATTAAATAGAAACAAACTAATAAGTCATATTATTTTTATTAAAATATCAACTGTTACAGAATTAAACGAATTAATATCTCTCTTTTTAGTTCTTTAACTTCTCTTTGTAGCATATGTCTGAACATGAATTCATACAGACCGTAGCCTTCTCCATATCTACCTTCATAGCTGTTCATGACACACAAAACAAAATCATAAATGTTTACGAATAGATATATAAACATACAAAGTAGCCTTATTGTGAACTAGAATAAGAATACAAATTTATACGAAGATGAAAAAATTGTGATCTGTTGCAAAACATTACTTACTCGGATCTGTAACAGGAACACAATTACGAGTAACACAACCAACTTGGCAGAAATATCCAATCTGGTCTATTTCACTTAGTTTTAGGTCAGAACTTTTGGTGCATTGTTTGGAACATGTGACGGGACATGTAAGTTTGTTTGATACAATTGGATTAATAAGACACAATTCAACACAACCTCCGAAACAATACAGATAAGATTTTAATGATGCTTCTGATGCAATGATAAGGTTTCCAACCGTTAACATTGTCATCACTAATATAACCATTCTTTTGTTATCCATTTTCTTCGAAGAAACAAAAAAAATAAACAAAAAAATACTTTTCTTTTGAAAGGGAGAAAATCTTTAGAAGTATGTGTGATTGTGATTTGTGAATGTTGTTTGAGTAAAAAAGTGGTTTATCTATATTAACATTTTTGCAGCAAAATTGGAAAAAACCCTTGGGGTTGAGAGTTATTTACAAGAAAATGCCATTCCATTGATATTAATTTTAAAAAAAAATCGAAATCACATTTAATTCAAAAAATTAACTTAATCTCATTCTCCTTAAATCTCTCCAAAAACTACCAAATCAATCTTTCATTAAATACATAAATTAAAAATGGATTAAAATTCAGTTACTATTTCGGAGAAAATTAACACAACAGTTTGCAAAAAATTTAGGAATTTTAACCATATATATACGCTTAATACAATTCAAAAATCATAAAAATGGTTCCAAAAGATTTTCCCCCTAAATCAAAAATAATATTTTTTATTGCTCCAAATAAAATACATTATATATACTTGGAATATTCCTAAAACTCATAATATTGTGCAGATAATTATGTATGTTTTTTAAAAAAAAATCAGTGTTTTCTTCATCTATATATACATTTTTCAAGTACATTTTTTTAAAAGAAACCTTGGGAGTTGAACTTATTTATCATATGACATTAGCATTTATTATTTATTCAAGAAGATATATAACTAATAAATACAAAATACCATGTCTAATATCTTCATATAATCTTATTGTTTTGAAAATTAATTTATTCCATAAAATATATGCATAATAAAAATACATTTTTCTGGATATGTTGCAATTTGTATTTTTGAAAATAGACTCATATTATGCGAACACATAGGGAAGCAATTACTATAATTTTTTCTAAGTAACATTTATACACGTGTTGTATGACGGATTGTGTGACGGTTTTATGACATGTTGTATGACGGTTTGTATGACGGGACGAGTATGAGTCTTAAACTTTAAACCGGGTTAAAATTTTATTGTATTATTTTTTACAACACCAATATAAGACATGTGAATCAAATTGATTTCATTATATTAATCAAACTGATTTCATTATGTTTGATATTATGTAATCTTAATAATTTTTAAATATATTTTAGTATAATATAAATTTTGAATATTATAAAAAAACCTAAAAATAAAAAAAAATTGCCCTGTGGTGTACCGCGGGTTAAAATCTAGTTTATAAACATTACATGACACTGTTTTGTAGTTTATTACATCATGTGCCATTAGAACTAATTAATTCAACTTATAGAATACTATATATGGAAAATTATTAAATAGACATAAATGTCTTTTACATTCAATCTACATACTCTATTGACTGAACTTTGATGGTATCTTTTTGATGGTATCTTCTAGATACTCTACTAATTAAATGTGATTAGCCACTTACATCGGTTTAGATACTTTATTACCTAAAATCCGATTGTATAAGATATCTTAGTTTCGTCGTCTTTGTTTATGTATATCTTACTTTAAGTAATTATTTCGAAAAATGTGATATTTGTGTGTTCCCTGGTTAATAAAAATATGAATAACAAAGTGTCAAAATTGTTTTTATCGCCGGTGATACCACTACTTTATAATAAATTTTTAACAAGGTGATGTTGTTTCCATTTCTAAAATATCTAAATTTCATTATGACGCCAATTGAGTTAAATCCATTTATGTTTTTCAACATTATTTTGTTTTATTTTCTTATTTTAATTTTGATTTATTTTTTTAATTTATATTATGATATGATATATAATTGTATTTTTGACTGGCTAATTAAACATGAGTGAATAAGAGTGGTTCACCCTTAGAGGTTAACCCAAATATTTTTGTAGGTTATTATTTTCGCCTTTCTCTCAAAGCATAAAACATTTTTTCTATAAAATTTTATATCCTCATATCCATAATTGAACAAAAACGGAAACTTGAAAAAAGGTAAGTTCAATGGTTGGATTTTTTCTAAGAATCCCAATGGTTGGATTTGATACTGTGAATTGATTATTGTATATGATATGTGTTGTCTTCGTGACCGGGGGTTGTAGAGTTAACCACAGTTAAAATAAAGGTTAAATTATGAAGCAAATATATTTAACATGAATTACCTAGGGTATTAAAATCAATTAAACATTACTGATTCATAATATCTTTATTAAGTACATAATAAAACTGATTAATATCTCCTATACTTCTTTTTATCGCACATATCCAAACATGAATCCACACAGATCATAGTCCTTTTCGCATCTCTCATTGTACCTGTCCATAACACACAACAATTACAAAACCACAAACATATTAGTAAATAGTCATATTATTGTCTATCATATAAAGATATACAGTAAAACATTATAAAACTAACTCAGTAACAAACGAGGGTAAGAATACAATTGTATATGAAAAATGAAATTTAAGATTGTTACAAAAAAAAAAAAAAGCTTACCATTATGATCTTTAACTGAAACACAACTATGAGTAAGACAATCGACTTTGCAGTAATAATTATCAGGATTTGGTTTCCAACAATGTTCAGCACATTTCGTGGAACATGAAGATTTGTTTTGCGAGTAAGGACCAGTGATACAAACTTCAAGACACCCAGGATAACATAACGCAGAATTTGGAGAAACATATTTGCTTAAACCCTCTGATTTAACCATAAGGTTTCCAATCGTAAACAATATCATCACCACAAGTATGATCTTGCTCTCCATTTTCTTTGAGGATATAAAGATTTTTATTAGGCTTTTCGTTTGGAGGAGAAGAATACTATAGAGGTTAACTGATTAAAAGTGTTTGTTGAATTGTGAATATTGTTTTCAGTAAAAATATTGCTTGTTTATATAAAGATTGTGATTGTTAGTGTATCTACTATATTTTAAAAAGAAAATACTTTTTTAGTTAAAACGAAACTTTTTTTTGTCAATATTTAAGACTTTTTTTGTCAAAACAAAAAAAATCTTTGTTATTATTTACACCCCTTGTCATTATAAAATCTATATAACATATCTCTTGCTTAAATAATTTATTGTTCTAAAGGTACTTTTCTTTTGGGTAGAACTGTGTTTAAAGGTACATTATACTTAAACACACAGTAGTAACTTATATTCACAAGATTTTTTTTTTTAATTTCCATTTAATTCTTATGATTTCTCTTTTAATTGAATTATTACTATGATTGAAGGATTCGATTAAAAAAAAAACTTCTTTTCTAGCACTAAATTCAATGAGTTAGTTAATAAAGTCACAAAATATCAATAGTAATAAATTGGATACCAGTTTTACCAAAAAAAAAATTAAATTGCATAAGAAACATTAAAACTATGATTTCTTTATAAAATTTAAAGGTTATATCCATATTACATAAACACAAGAAAAAATTCATGCAAAAGAAAACAAATAAGGAGGTAAAAAGGAGAGATGATATGATTCAATTCTAAACACGACCTTTATGAGCACTTCCAACAGCAATCTCTTAACAAAACATACCTAAAGATATATGAAAAAAAACTGAAGAAAATTAAATAAATATCTATGCTTTTTGATTCTCAAAGGAGACGATTAAATTCGAGAAATCTCTAGAAATCTCAACATTGCTTGCTTCACGTGCTGAATGTTCTTTCTTCTCAATTATATGGGATTAATCAGAAGTCGTAAAGTTTAATCTATAATCACAAGTTCACAACTAAGATTATGTTAGTATGCATCCGTTACCGTTAAAGTTTGAAGACCATAAACACACAGCAATCTTTTATTTCTTTGATCTCAATGTATTGTGAAGCCAAACAAAATCTGTTTTCCTAGTTTCGATATACACTTTCAACTTTCAAGTTACGAACCTTAATATATTTCTGGAAAATAGAAAACACGATTTGATATCTTTACATTTTTCATATTCCAATATTGATACCTTACGGTTACGGGAAACAACAAAATCATTTTTTTTCAGATCTCTAGTCTATTTTCACATACACAAAATCTACAAACATAAAATACGAACTTCGAGTAAATGATGTGTGTGTACTAGGTTTACGTCACACACACAAACACATGTGAGAGCTCCTTCTAGTCGGGATAGAAGGTTTGCAATTCCCGACAAAATTCAACACGTACACATTAAGACCAGTCAACCAACACTTTTACTTACATCACATTCACATTACGTCATCCGTAATCTAATCCAACAGTCAATCTTTCGCCACGTCACCATCTTCCGCCGCACGTGTATGGCTCCTAATCCTCCTCAGCTCCTCAACAATCTCCTTAGCGTCAGGACGATCATCCTTATCCGCCGCAACACACCGGAACGCCAACTCAGCAACCGCCGCAACACCAAACCCGTCAGTCACCGCCGCCACATCATCGCCGTCTAAAGCAAGCACCGGGTCAATCACCTGATCCAAAAGACCCATTTGAATCTTGGATACAACAAGATCCGCCAAAGCCATATCTCTCTTCTCACGCCGTTGGTCAACTGCTTTCATCCCCGTAATCAACTCCATCAAAACGACACCGTAGCTGTACACGTCACTCTTCTCCGTTAACCGAAAAGACCGGTGATAATCTGGGTCTAAATAACCGGGCGTACCCTGTGGTCCGGTACAGACGTAATCAGACGAAGAAGCTGAATTCACCGTCGTCTCCGAGAACACCAAGAGCCTAGAGAGACCAAAGTCTCCAACTTTGATCTTCATATCCTTCTCAACGAAGATATTAGACGAAGTTATGTCTCTATGAACAACCGATGGAACAATGGCGAAGTGAAGATACTCCATAGCTAAAGCTGTTTGTAAAGCAATGTCTAATCTTACACGCCACGTCATCTTTGATCTCCGGCCATGGAGATGATCGGCGAGAGTGCCGTTAGTGACGTAATCGTGAACAAGAAGAAGGCCTCTCGGGTCAGAGCAATAGCCATGGAGCTTAACGAGGTTAGGGTGGTTGATTGAAGAGAGGATCAAGATCTCATTGCAGAATGACTTCATTGAGAACGCTTTGCAATGCTCGGTGGCTGCGGCGGTTGCGCCGTGGTGATGGTGGAGGAACTTAACGGCGAGGAGTTGTCCGTCGCTGAGTTGGCCTAAGTAAACAGAACCGAAACCACCGTCGCCGATTTTGCGCTTGGGGTCGAACTTGTTGGTGGCGGATTCGAGCTCTTCGAAGGTGAAGACCGGTGGGAGAAGAGCGGCGGAGCGGTGACGGCGGAGGAACAGAGCAGCTGGGTCTTCTTCGTTGACTGATGACAAAAAACTCGCTCTCCGTGATCGGAAAATAGCTACGGCGACGGAGATAGCAAGTAGAAGACAAGTCAGAGCGAAGATAAGAGACAACACGGCGATGTGATGGACTCTTTTAGTTATTAATTCGGATCTTGATTTGTTGTTGGGGAAACAGAGGAATTCTTGATTCGGGTGGGTCGAATTAAACCCGCAAACACCGTTCTTGATTTGACAATCTCTGCATTTAACAAAGTATGGATCTTGAGATTCGTCCCATTCAACTTCAAATCCGAATCTGTTGAAGAAATCTTGGAGAAAGCCAAGAAGATCTCCTTGGCAGCCTTGTTCAGATAACGACCCGTGAGTTGATTCGCAACCGTGGAGGATCCGACCCGGATTCTTCAAGAGTTTACAGTCCCAAGGACAACGAGAACAGTTAGGGAGAGTCAAAGGAGAGCAGGGACGGAGCAGTGAGAGACGAGAGCAAGAAGAGTCCGAGACTCTGAATGGTGAACCGGTTAGGTCGATGAACCGGTTTGGAGAGGAGGAGAACCGTAGAGCAGAACAGCTGTTATTGTTGTTGTTCCGGTTAGAGTTTGCAATGGGAGAGAGGGTTAAAGAAGAAGAGAGAAATGAGTAATGGAGGATAGAGAAAGTGAGGTTTTTGATTGTGATGGTGGAGCGTGGAGCAGAGCATTGGATCTGGAAGTTAGGGTGGCCACATCCTGGTGAAGTGGAGAACGGGTACGGTGGTGAGGAGTTAAACGGTGGGCAATGAATTGAAGAGGAACATGAAGTAGATGCAGAGGAAGGTTTAACAATGGTGAGAACGAAGATAAGTAGAGAAAAGCGCAGCCATGAAGAAGAAGAAGGCAGTGGTTGAGACATGTAAAAGAGATCTGATTCTAAATCTGTTGACTGAACTTTTGTCGAAGTGGACAGTGATATGAAGGAAGAAGAAGAAGAGGCACGTGAAGGTTTAGGAACTTGGAACTGAATACTTCAGTTTTGTTTTATTTTATCAAATAAATATCTTAATAAATCTTTGTTTATTTTTTCTTTTTTGGTATTTCGACTCTCCCTAGGCAATGCTAGGCAGTGAAAGTCGAATTCAAAAATTTTTAAAACAAATTTCTCTGATTTAAGAGAAAAAAATGTCAAAAGGTATATAAATGGAGAGTAAAGAAGCAAATAGTATGTTGAAGAGTCCTTTCTCTTGAAGTTAAGGCAAATGAAATTATTGAGATGAGAGTAAAGAACAAATGGGGGAATATAAGCAAAAAAGAAAAAGAAGTCAAAAAGCAACGACAGACATTGTAGAAAAATAGAAGAAATAGTTGAGATTTAAAGTGGATGTTTCTTTTGTCAAATTGGGTGCTTATTGAATTTATGATGAAAAATCTAAGGAACTCAATCATACGTTTTCAATAGTTTTATGCAGAAATGGTTGGTGAAGAGCCTAAACCTACCGACCATAACTATGTATAAAAAGTGCATTATTACTATTTTAAGGGTAGTTTTGTTTCGTCAAAATCTTATTATTTTGTCTTTATTATCTTCATGTGTTGTCGACGAAAATAGTATAATTCAGGAAAAGACAAGGTTTAATTGTGGTTTTGGTTCTAAGAATAGATAGAAAAGCTTCCTAAGTTATGGAGAGTTTTGTTTGGGTCGAGTGATATGTAACTATGTCATAAAATATGCGGAACAGTCTAGGTAAGTGTAAGTCAATAGTTTGGTAAAAGGGCCAAGGAGAATATGTCTTCTTCCTAGTCCATCTATATGCAATTCATTTTCTGATACATTAGAATTCTAAGTTGAGTGTTAAAACCGCAAAATCACATTTGTTAGTCGTAATTGTAAACTATTTTATCGTGTTTAAACTGCGGGATAACATTGTTAAAAATGTGGAATCACATCAGATTGCATCAAACTATTATTTCAAATTTTACAGAAATTAGTTTAAGAAATTGGATATGCACGAAGCAGAAAAGAACCGAACATATTTATTAGTCTGTACACATCCGTTGGATTGATCCGGCGGGTCCTTCTCATCGGGTCGTATACATTAATGAAATATAAGAAAAATTGTAGCTCTCATTTGTTCACATATGAGTAGTTTTTGTCCTTCAAAACATAAAAACAAGATTGCAATAAAAATCTAAGAAGCGATGACAATGATACAGCAGTTGATTTGGAGCCTTTTCCAGTTTCCTCCAGTAATAATTCAAATAAAGAGCCAATTAATGCGATGCGATGCGACCCGAATAAAGCTGACCTTTTTTCTTTTGGGGTCTTACTCTTTAATAATGTCTGTGTGATTAAGTTTCTCCAGTTTCAATCATGAGACTTTTTGAAACTTCAAATTGTACTACTGGGTGAATTGGGCCTGTACCGTTTTTAAAAATTCGTATTATTAGGCCTCTATCTATATAGAACAGCAATATAGGCCCATGTCTAGTGGCACTCTCCAAGTTTGGAAGCTTGTTGGCACTTGGCACCCAAAAAGAGAAAAAACAAAAATAAACTTTTGATATTTAGTATATCAGATCTTGGATTTATTTCTAAAGTATTATTAAAATTTAAAAGACTGACTATAATTGCAAAAAGTCATTGTATTTTTCTATACTTTTTTTAACCTCAAATATTTACACATTTAATTTATTTTGCAATGTTTAAGTTAAGCCATTGTGTTTGTTTAAGTTAATTGTAAGAGATTTTATACCATTTTTTCAAGAAAAATATTAGCAGCAAGGACTTAAATTATTTCCATTTTTTTGTTTTCTAGTTGTTTGAAAATAATTATTATGTGATACTAAATAAATAAATAAAACTATTTTTTTGACAAATAAACTTATTATAGTATAGGTTAACACGTATTTTTTTTTTCTTACCTAATCAAACCCTTGGTAAAAATAAATAAAAAAGAGGTTGACTTTTTGTGTATATAATAAATATAAATATCACAAATGAGGGAAAACAAATTACAACTAGCAACGTTGCTGTGTCTGTAGACCGAGTCACGGAGACTAAAATATATACAGCCTGGAAATTAAATTTTAAAAAGTCTTCCTTTATTATTTTAATTAATAATATAATGAAAATGACATAACTAAGAAAACACATAATCTCCAAACAAATCTACGCGGAACAAATTAAATTTATGGATTGATAAAACTTGGAAAACAAATAATATATGTAATAAGGGCGTATAAATAATGTATGTCCTCTTCATAGTCTCATACGACCTTCGAAAAATCTCGCCGTGTCCTTCAACGAAGAACTGAGAGAAAAAAAATGGAGTTATTCGCCAAAGGCACGGCCGTAAGATTAAGGAGCTGTCACGAAAAATACATTTTCGCCGTCGACGACGAGAAAACCGTCCGTCAAAGCTCTGACGGAAAGTCACGGCAATCTATATGGACGGTGGAGATGGTGCCACGTAAACCCAAACTCATCCGTCTCAAGAGCTGCTACGGCAAGTATTTGACGGCGAGCGAGTCGTCGTTTCTTCTTGGGATGACGGGGGCAAGGGTCATACAAACGCCGCCGTTTCGTCAGGCGGAGTACGAGAGCAACTGGGAGCCGATACGAGACGAGTCAACGGTTAAACTCATGTCGTGGAACGATAAATATCTTCGCGGGAACGGAGGAGCTCCGCCGTGGAAAAACTCCGTGACGTGCGACGGTGAACCGCACTTGTCGACGACCAAGAAATGGATCTTGTGGTCCGTTGAGCTCGTTGATGATCCTGAGAAAGTTTCGTTCGCCGATCGTTTCTCGTCCCCGGCGTCGAGTTTTAACTCGTCGGTCTCAGACGACGGGTCGAATCACGGGTCATCACCGGTTCGAAAGTTACATACTTTTGGATCATCTGAATCTATCGGGTCGGATCCTGGGTCGCTTGCATCTGTTACCTCTTCGAAACTTATGTTTACTCCGTCAATGTCGGGTACATTGTCCCAAAAACCAACAGAGGTACGTACGCGTCAATTCTGAATTCACAGATAACTATTTCGTATAACATAAAGTATTAAATTTCATATACATAACTATAAATATTGATTTTGGTGTAATTTGTTTTGTAACAGAGGAAAAGTTCGAAGAAGTTACTAACAGAGAATGTAACAGCGATGGACATGTTCCGGGATGCCAAAACGGTGCGTTTACGAAGCAGTGCACATGAGAAATATTTGATAGCTGATGACGACGAAGAGACTGTGGTAATTGGAAGAAACGGGTCGTCCAAGGAGGCTCGGTGGAGAGTAGAATTAGTACCCGGATCCGAGAAGGCGATCCGGTTAAAGAGCTGTCACGGTGGATACTTGACGGCGTCGAATGAGAGGTTGTTGTTGGGAGCGACGGGGCATAAGGTGGTGCAGTCGAGGAGGATAAGAGTGGACGAGCCGGCGGGAGAGTGGGAGCCTGTGAAGGAAGGTTTAAAGGTGAAGCTAAGGAGTAGAAACGGCGGGAATTATTTAAGAGCCAATGGGGGAATGCCACCTTGGAGGAATACGGTTACTCATGATTTACCGAACCGGAGTGTTACGCAGAGTTGGGTGGTTTGGGATGTTGATTTGGTCGACATTCATGGAACCGGTTGATTCATGACTTATTTAACTACAATAGTCTCTCACAACTTTATCAAATTTCTTTGGAAGAAAGATTAATTTTCATAATTTGGGATAATTGGTTGGATTTTAATTAGAATGCGTGTAATGCTTTTGTAAATAGAAAACAAAAACGATTCAGCAAGCACAGAGGTGCAGCAATTGATGTAGAAAAAAAAATCTTGTTCTGATTAATTTTCGGAGTAATAATAAAAAAAATATTGTTCTGATTAATTTTCTGATTAATGTTCATATTAATGTGATCTCTCATATGTCAGGGTGGGAATGACCTGTAGGGTGAAATACAAAACGGGCCGAGAGCTGTAAGGTCAAATTAGATAACAAGCCCATACAAAAACGAAAGAGAGTTTTGAGCTATCAGGTATTGCTTCCACCCTTTGACAATATATATGATGTTGTGTTGCTTCTTTGAGAACAAACAAAGGAGTAGTTAAGTATCCGGGTACATTTTCCTCGTTTAAATTGAACGTCTTTCAACTGTTGTGATTAGTGAAATTATGGTTTATTTAGGTTAGTTAATGTTTGGCTAATTTAGTTGTTGTGTTAGGCTATTTTAGTGTATGCATTTAGGCAATCTATCCAAATGACCTTTTTTTTTTGTTTCTTTCGTTGGTTTGAATTGATGACACGGACACGGTGAAGCGTTTAAAATTTTTAGTGGGTAAAAAAATGGTAAATAATAATAATGATGATAATGTTAATTGATTTGCAAACTATTATGAAACATCCGCTCTGTTTCTTTATGTTTTTCTTTTAAGAACAGATCATTTAAACTTATAATATTAAATAAAGACCCGTGATTAGTCTCAGAGCAGATTATGTTGAAAGTGATTAGGCTCAAACGCAACTTGTCCGGCCCGTGACAACGACCCTATACGTAAGTAAGACTCTTACTGTACGAGTAACGTATCACTGACAAAAGTTGGTATTAGTTACGATATCTTTGTCATGGCCGAGACATATATGCATGGCTTAAGAGTTAAGCCTTTAAGGAGAGTCCCACACTCGTCACTCTCCTCTCTTGCTGTTTCTTACGGGCAATACAATTTGACATTTCTTCTTCATTTATTCACCTATATTCTTTTGGATAACAAACCTTTTTCCTATATACTTTAGTAACATAACATCGTACGTTTCATTTATTTACACCATTCACTTTTTAATTTCAGTATTTATCCAATTCCATATAGAGTGATAGGGATACTCTTCTCCCTCTCTGTCTCTCTCGGTTACAAGTTACAACGGGATATAAGGGAAACACACACACGTAAAAGTCTGAACATCGAATTATTTATAATTTACCTATATGGATAGACATGGATGCTGACGTGGAAAGACAAAATTTGGTGAAACACGTCAATTAAAGCATGACTTTTCCCTGGACTAGTAGCTAAACTCGTTTCATCACATGGCTATATATATAGTATCCAAATAATAATATACTTGGATGAATTCAAAATAAACGATTGTAAAAGGTCCACCCCACAGCGCACCACTTTGGACTTGGTCTTCCTATAATAAATACAACACCAAACATCACATTTCACATTAATCTGTCTTGGGGAAGAAAAAAAACTTTTTAAGGCTTCGACAAGAAGGAAATAGTAACAAAAACATACTAGTATCATCAGCAAATGGATTTTTTCAATCAAGCTAAAGCCGTAAGGATGCGTAACGTCCATGATAAGTATCTAGCGGCGGACGAGGACGAGGAGACGGTGACTCAAGACAGGAATGGTTCAGACAAGAGAGCTAGATGGACTGTGGAGCCGGTTCGTGGTTCCTTTGAAGTGATCCGTTTGAGGAGTTGTTACGGCAATTACCTTACCGCTTCGAACGAGCGGTTCTTGCTCGGCGCCACTGGACGTAAAGTGGTCTTGTCGAAACCGAGTCGACTTGACTCGTCTGTTGAGTGGGAGCCGGTACGAGACGGGTCTAAAATGAAGCTGAAGACGAGATACGGCAACTTGCTTCGAGCCAACGGTGGACTTCCTCCGTGGCGCAACTCTGTCACTCATGACACTCCTCACGTATCGGAATCTTTCTTGTGGGATGTTGATATCGTCGAGATTTTGGTGGGAACGGCAACTCCAGCTCCAGCTCCGGTGGCAACTCCTCCGCCGCATAGGAGGCCATCGTATACTTCAGTTTCTAGATCATCTTCAGATAGATCCGAGGAAGAGGTTGGTACTCTTACCACTAGGCAAAATCATCCATTACCATTGTTTCAATCCAATATTTGCTTAGTTTAAACAACATATATTTGTGGCCATTATAAATTTCGATATCCAAATCTCGGAATATCCAAAAATGTTTCTTTGGAGTAATGCGAATAATAAGATATTTGTTCACTTATTTTACTAGATTTTATCAAACTGAAATTTACGAAAATAGCCTTATACTTTTCAAGATTGTTATCTTAACCATTTCTTGATTTTTTCAAGATTGTTGTCTTGACAATTTCTTGGTTTTGGTTTGACCAGTTGACCATGTCGCCGCCGAAATCTGAAGGAAGGATCATATATTACCACATCGCTGACGAGGAAGGTCACGTGGAGGACGAATCAGCCGTTGGATATGCTTTGACGTTCAAAGGAAACACCGTGGAGCAGTTGACGCAGGCGCTTCAAGAAGAGACTAGCATAGATGATTTTGTGGTGTGTACACGCAATCCTTTAAACGGCAAGCTGTTTCCAATTCGTTTGCAGCTTCCACCAAATAGCGGAACAATGCATGTCGTTTTAGTACCTTCAAGTAGTTCTTAAACGGCAAGCTGTGTGGTTTTCCCTTGATCTCGAATGTAATATAGTAGTGGTCGAAGTATTAAGCTCAAGACTCGGGAGTCAAGTTGCTTCCATTAGGTAAGACCGTAAGAGTGTTTAATATTAATTATAGGATTATTATTATGGATTGGTATTAATCTTTCATTTATTGTACATAAGTTTGTTTTGTAAACGAAGCTACAAGCTTCGCCATTTTTTTATGTGAACATTCTCAATCAAGAATTGATTTTTTTTAGTAAAAGACTTTCGCATGATTATTAAAGTGTAACCAATCATTAAGCAAGTCTTCACCAACTCTTCCACTTTGATAACATGTGTTACTAAATTAATATTGTTCTTCTACTAAAGTGTGTTAATAATCATGTTCTTCATACACATTGATAAAATGTGTTACTAATAATATTGTTATGTACTAAACTGTTATCAATGAAGAGCTTGCTTTTACTACAAAAAAAAAATAGAGAAAAAGAACAATCTCGATGACATCGTGCAGTCACCAAGGAAAAACAATGGTTCTTAATTCTTAGCCAATTCATAGTGGCCAGGGCAAGGATACACAGTTTTCACAAACATTATATCTCGATTTCCACCCAAAAAAAAAAACAAACTTTATATCTCGATTGTTAAAAAATAATAATAATGGTTTCATGCATGTACAAATTAATGATGTTTTAAGGCTACCAACAAAAATCACCGATCATAAATTTATTATATTACATAGCAAATCCAACATCCACAAATCACTGATCATAAATTTTATACCTACATATCAAATCCAACATATCACAAATCACTGATCATAAACTTATATTACATAGCAAACCCAACATTCAATTACTTTACATCACATACAAGTTTTATTTTGTTGAATCCTGGTTCAAACATTTATTTATATATATATATATATATATATATATTATATATTCTTGGCATGCATAAGGTGATGATACGTACTTAAACGCTTCATATTTTCAGTAGGAGGATTGTGTGTACTTGTGGAGCTTCCTCTCTAACTCATCAACCTTCACACCCACAACTCTGTCTACTTCTCGGCCTCTCTTCATGAATACAATCGCAGGCAAAGTGTTAAGGTTGTACTCCATCCACACGTTCTGCATCTCAACCAAACACTATTTTATTACTCAAAGCAAACCCAAAGTATGTTTTTTTCATTTGAACTTTCAGAAAGGAGATGCAAAAAGGGGTTTGATATTATTACCATCAATACATCGACATCAATCTTCACGAACTCAGCATCAGTGTATTTAGCTGCCAACTCTTCGAGCTTTGGTTCAAGGGATTTACATGGTCCGCACCATTTGGCTGTGAACTCGATTACCAGCTATAAACATGAAAATTGAATGGTTCATAATGATATTTCAAATTAAACAAGAGAAATTAAGGCTAATTGCATTGTGTTAATGTTTTCACATGACTTACTCATTTGCAATTAAGATTTAAGTTAAAAGAAACCTAGAAAAATAAACGTAATATATGAAAGCCTAAATTTGACCTAAAAAATGATATGTTTCGACTCTATAATAAGTTTTAGTTTAGATGAGTGAAAAAATCATCAACTCGTGATTGCATGTTAGAAACTCTCACATCATATTCGAAATGTGAGTTAGACTATACTGGACATACACCAAGCTATATATTGAAATTGTTGTTTTGAGTAAAAAATACGTATAACTAATATTTAGGCTGATGTCTTCACCAACATGGGGGTCAGTTTTAACAACATATCTAGAGAAAAATGAACGTTTTACATTAAAAAAATGTTCATCCTTTTATATTTTCTCTAATCTCTAGATGAACTACTACCAAAGAGGATAAGCTTGCACGAACTGTTCATATATAACCGTAATATGTAAACAATGTTTTTCGGATTAGTTTATTTGATCTGATCTTTTAATATTAAGTTGTTGACAAAAAAAAACATTTCGTCATCTTGACCGTATAAATGTCTCGAATCTGAATTAAAGAACTCTTTGTTCAACCACCAATCATCAAAAAAAAAAAAAAAAATTGTAGAAAAAGAATCTTACGAACAAAATGTTATAGACTTCTAGTTAAATAAGAAATCACATTAAATAAAATATTACCAGCTTGTTTGTATCTTTGAGAGCGTTGAGACGAGACTTCCACTGATTCTTGTTTTTAATCTCCACAATACCAGGGCTGTTGGCTTTGAAAGGATAAGTCTCAGGTTTAGGTGTCCATGATGGCTTACGGAAGGGAGCTACCTGATACTTCTGGTCTAGAGAAGAAGCGTTAGCACCCATTATAGTCTCTTAGTTTCTCTAAGCAAATAGAAGCAAAATGTTTGGAGTAGAATTAAAACTCTTAATTAGTTTGATGAGAATATGGCTATAGCGGAAGAGTCACCTTTTATAACAACTTCAAATATTCTTGTTGGCTTTTGTTGTGGACCAAAGTAGCCGTAAAATCGTAACCAATTTTCACAATGCATTTTCCATAGGCTCTAAGTGGTAACGAAAAAATGATTCTACCAAGTAAGCAAAACCACTTTGATATAAACTGTCAACATTGAGATCAAAGTTGTCTAGATACTTTGAATTTTGTAATTAGAATGCATGCTATAAAGACGTTTTATCAGTTTTTGTTAATCGATATTTAAATTTGTAATCGCATACAAAATATATTGAATAAATCTGGAATTGTATAAAATGTGTTTAGGTTTGTTGTTAATTTCCCAAGTGAATCAAAAGCTTTAATTTTGTATTTCTTATTTTCAAAAGTGTGAGATTTGTTTGTTTTATGTGTTGTTAAAGGAGACAATGAAAAGGTGAGAGCAGAAGTATTTGACTTTTTTTACAGCCGTGAAATTGTGGAATCAAAATCTACACAATATATATGATTCTCCTTCCGTAGCTTTTTGGTTTTATTTTAGTTTTGGATAACAACTCCTTTTGAAATTTGTTTATATAAAAGTAAAATGTTTAAAGCATACATAAAACGCAAATTCAATGTACGTGAATATATGAATGATGTATGTGGGATGTGGCAACAAGGCAAAACACAAATTAAATTTAACGGTAGATTCCTTTATTTCAAATCAAGAACTTGCTTATTTTTAGGAAGCCATATATAGTGTTATTATATTTATTTGTGTATGGTGTCGGCAGGAAGAATCAAACGAATCGATCAAAACCAGTACTAAAAGAAGCATGATGATGAACGTAATTTACATATATATAAAAACTAAAATGTAAAAATTTATTATATTTATATAACTAGTTGATACATTTTCATGGTAATCATTCAAACAACATCGATTCATCTTCTTGTTGTTCCTAATTAAAATCATTACATCGGTTTTGACGAAGTCATCTCAACATCATCGGAACGCTTGTCCTCCTCAAAATCTTCAATCGGTAAACCGACCTTATACCGGTATCCACGAGCACAATACCAGAAGTAAACCAGATTAAACACACCCAAAACCGCAATCAGGTAATAGAAGTAATCCAATTTCCCCGCGTTGAGATTCTTGTTCAGCCAATCCGGACGGTCATGCCCTCCGGTGAATTTATGAACGATCGTCACAAGGAAGCTACTAAGGTAACTCGAACCGGCGAAGGATAAAGAGAAGAGCGAGTTAGCAATGCTTCTCATGTGCTCTGGAAACTGACTGTTGAAGAACTCTATTTGTCCAATGATATTGAATGCTTCGCATAGTCCCATCAGAATAAGCTGTGGAGAGAGCCAAAACACTGACATTGGAGTCATACCTGTTGGATCTCCCGCATTGATGGAGCGTATGCGTCTCATACGCTCCACTATGCCCGCAACGATCATAGAAAAGATCGCGAAAACGATCCCTGTCCCTATACGTTGGAGGAGCGTGATACCTGATTTATGGCCTGTGACTCGTCTTGCGAACGGGACGAAAACGCGGTCGTAGAAGGGAAGAAAGATCCCTATTGTGAGGAGAGAGATGACAGAGAGTGAACCAGCCGGGATCTCGAAGTTAGGACCTAAGTGTCTGTCCATTTTCAAAGCTTGTGAGACAGTGAAAGTGCCTTGTTGTGTCATGGCCGCGAGTGAGATTATTCCAGCCGACCAAACAGGGACGATTCTGATTAAACACTTCACTTCTTCCACTTCTTGGACACTGCATAACCGCCACTTGTTAGCTGGAGCTCCCTCCGGTGTTAGATCGCCTTCTGTTACCACCGCTGCTTTGTCTAGACACCTAATTATATAAAATTCTAGTTATGATATAGCTACGTTAAGTCGTTAAATAAATTAAAGTAAACTCATGTGAAAATATTTATATAAAGTACCTAAATTGGTTACTGCGATGTAGCTTGGATAACACGGTAGATTTGATGGCTGGGTCATAATAGGTCACAGTACCGTCATCTTCTGCCGGAACTTTCAGCTTTCGCTTCTTACGAGCTGCCACGATAACTTGAGCAATCCCAGAGAATATACTCCCTTCAGGTTTGACGTAGATGTAACGCTTCATTCCGGCAAAAAACATAACCACCGCAAGAGCCATGAGTCCGGTAGGGATACTAAATCCGATAATCCAACTGACTTGGTCCTGGATATACACAACTACGGTCTGTGTAATGAGCAGTACTATAGTGAAAGTCATGTAATACCAGTTGAAGAAACTGGCCACTCCTTTAACCCCTTCGTCAGTTCGTTGGTCAAACTGATCAACACCAAAAGGGATGCTACAAGGTCGTATTCCTCCACTACCTATGGAGAGGAAACAGAGTCCCAACAGCAAAACTCCGAACTGGAGCTTGTTAGGACCAGCGCAACTGAGTGGGTTTTGGCTGTGGCATGATGCTGGGTGGAGTTGAGGAAGCGATGCTGTGAGTGTAATTGTTATTAGTCCCTGCAATATTGTCAGTGCTATTATTATTAGTCATCATTCATTTGGTAACCGATTATTCATTAGTACTGTGATTCTATTGCTTGAAACTGACATGTCATGGCTATAATATTGAAAAAGGCAAACAATAGTACTGTGGGATAGATTTAAATTAGGTGATCAAATATAAACAAACAATTACTATAAAGTTTACAATAGTCTTAATTAGGTTTGACTTCATATGATTAAAAAGGTAATGTTACTTTGATTAGGTGAACTGACAAATGACGTAGTACCTAAAAATTTCATTTATTTCTGTTCTAGACCTTATTTAGTGATATGATTATAACTTGTAACAGTTTAGGTTCCTTATTAACGTTTAAATTATTGAGGAAAAGACAAAAACCAAAAAACGTGTAAGAGAAATCAACAAGTTGGATGCAATCATAATTTCATAATAGTGAACGAAAGAGACACTAGAAAAGCAACTACATCATTATATATGTAACGTCACTGTGAGATTGACAAAATCTAAACCCCTTTAAGCTTAGCTATAGCGTCAAGAAACTCAATTATTGAACATGCAATCTCATTGTCAATAATCTATATAGACCACTTGCGTAATCTCTACCTTTTCTACGCACATCTCTTTATCTCTAAGACATAACGCACGTTCCAATACGGAACTCCTTTATTGGAAAAATGTTTCATCAATCATCAAACCAAACTTGTTTATGTGAGATAATAGAGTTTATGAGTATTAGTTTTTTGAGTAATTTATTTACGTGAGTTGAAGTTAAAAACCGACAACAATAAGTGTACTACCAAAATGCTTTATTTTGTTGGTTCTTATGATTCATATTATACAGACCGACCTTATCGTCCTCGATATCGTGGTCCCTCACTCCCTCTATAAGTTCATGCGTTTTCGTATGATACAAAAGTAATTAATTTCATAGCTTTTGACAAGAAAAGAAAGAAAGAGAGTAAAAGAATAGGTAAAAGAATACTATAAAAATCAATTAATATTATTGTATAATAAATAAATATATAGACATTTAATTATAGACATCTAATTAATATAATTGATGTCTAATAAATAAATATATATAATAAATAAATATATAGACATCTAATTAATATAATTAATGTCTAATAAATAAACATATATAATAAATAAATATATAGACATCTAATTAATATAATTTGTCTTTACGTACGTATTTCCTTATCATGTCAACGTGCACGATGATATTATGTGCCAAGTATCATGTATCTTCGCCACACACCAAAAACACATAAATTGAGTGATGATATAAGTTTCTAATTAGAGATGTTTTCTTTATTTATTTTTACTTTTTGTTGGACGCAATTATTCGAACAGTGGAGGCTAAAGCACTACTGACCCATGCTAGCACCACTGGCCGCGAATAGTTGCAGATTTGATGTGTTATGAGCCAACAAAGTTAGTATTAGTTACGACGTACGTAAGTGTGTATATCTCTAGACTCATTAGATTAAAGTTTTTTAATCAATTAATTAAAGAGATAAATATGTTATAATACGTACGAGTAGAGTGGCGAATGAGGCGAAAGCGATGGTCTTGAAGCGGCCGATGTAAGTGTCTGAGATGAACGCTCCGACGAGAGGAGTGAGATTAGTGAAACCAGACCAAATGTTAATGACATTTGCAGCAGCGACTTGTTCTAAGTGGAACACTTTGGTTAGATAAACCATAAAGTTTGCCAACAACCCTATCGTTCCCAGTCTCTCCAGCGTCTCATTACCTGTTTCGACATGTACAATTATATCACAACTTCTTATCTATATAACTGTTCATCTATTTCATATCATTAAATGATATTAATCAAAGGAAACAAATAATATTTTAAAATAAAAAATGTATAACACAAAAATTTAGAAAAATATCACTTAATTTTTTTATAAAATAATGCAATTTTCTTCCGTTTCCGTTATAAAAAGTGGTCGGGTTGACGAGTGTCATACATATTGGACGACGGTTACAAGAATAGAATATGATAAAATTTAATACTTTGTTAATGAAAATAAAAAAAAACTACTATAATTCTTGAAGTGGTTGATTTGGGCAAAACGTGAATCATGAAACGGCCAGTTACATCCATCACTATACTCACTGGATTCTAGAACAATATATCCACTTATGGAAGTTATGGAAAGATCAAGAATGAGATTAACTAAAAACAAAAAACTATGTTGTAGTTCTCGAATCCCTGAAAATGAAAAGAAAAATAAAATACCTAAAATGAAGGATATGGCTCTCCATCCTCCAGGCTTTTTCTCAACCTTCTTGGCATCCGAACTAGATTCCGGCGAACTTTTCCGGTTGTACGGATCAGTAACATCTAACCCGGACGGTGACGATTTGGAGAAACTGCCGGGCGGTTGTGGCAAAGAAGAACCGTCATTTTTATCTTCCAAAACCATCTTCTAAGATATTACTATACTCACTTCGATTTTGAGGGGTGTGGTTTTGATGTTGTGGAATATATATAAATCAATCAAGGTAGTAACCACATGAAATGATTGAGAAATGCAGAGAGTGGGAACAACGTTTGTACACTTTCTCTCTGTTGGAGGCTCTTTTGGTGTAGTAGTGAATATTTGTGGAATTGTAGTATATATATAAGGGAGTAAGTAGATATTATATGGTGGGTATGGCCTGTGGGTAATTTTTTTTTTAATGACGTTCGCCACTAGTATCCTCCAGGACCTCCACGTGAGAAGTTAGAAGTGGAAAAATATAAAAACTTTAGTGCTATGTTTGTTTGTCTGTTTTTGGGGTGAGGGGTTATTAACCAAATGATTTTAATTGATTTCGATAGAATTTAAAGATTTTTTTCCAATTTAAAAGTGTATAAACGTTGGGTTATATATAGAGAAGATGATTTTTAAAGATTTTTAAAATTGAAATTTCTATTTTTATTAATTTATGGAATCTTATATTCTAAATAAAGTCTTATGTTCTTAATATGATAATTTTGTAATTCATCTAAAATCATGTATTATTGGTATGTGGATTTTGTAATTCTGTTCAAAAATCTTTGTTATTAAAAAAAAATGTATTTATTGATTTTGCAAGTCTTTCAAATTCTAGTGTAAAATTGATTGAATGATTGTAAAATTGATTTAGAAAAAAACCTTTTGTTTACAATATATGTATTTTTTTGCTTACCAAAAAAATCTTGTTTATTTTCTTTTGCTTACGCCGTACGTAATTTTTTTTTTTTTTCCACCCTTCCACGTATTGTGAACGTTCCATGTCTCATACATATGTTACGTTAAAATACGATTTTAAACTAATGTACCATATGTTATAGTACATTTGCATCGTAAGGGTTTGATGGATGCATGATAATAGCACTCCTCACGCGGGTATGATGATGGGTGTGAAATAGACAATCTTATATTCACTTAAACATGATATAATATCTCATAATAAAATCCTTAAGAGTACTATAACTTCTATACTTTTTCTTAATTGACGCGAGATTGGATCCTTATTTTTCTGTTCATTTATTCAGTTGGCAGAGTTCTACACTTCTTCTACACTTTAAAATCCTAAATATTTTTTAAAACTTTTAGAACCTTTTCCAATATTCTGAACTAAAAATTATACAATTTTCGACGTGTGGCGATATTTTATCCAAAGTTAAACCTCAGTACGTATCAAATTAATTCATTAGCAATCAGTACGTATTAAGCATAAAATCTGCTTTATACTACAATTCATCAGACACAAAACGTGGAAGTCCATTTGTCAACTTATCATACGGTCGCTCACTGACTAATCGAAAGAGAAGATCGGAAGATAGTGTTCTGCTTCATGTCCTCAAACGAATCTTTCATGTACTGACTACAGTACTCAGTAGTAGTAACAAACGGTAAATCTCAAAAAAAAAAAAACATATGAAATTAAAAAGTACTTGAAATACTCTTGTTTAGAACACATCAGAACATATGTTTATTCTTTTAACTTTTATGTATTTTATATACATGCCAAAAGGAGTAAAAATCATGATTATTTGTTATATAGATGCATACATATTGAAACACTGGATATTTATATCATAAGGAAAGATTAAAGCCAACTAAACTTGTAAAATTCAAATTGAACACACAAACATAAAATCGGTGAGTCAAGACAGAAACAGATAGAGAAATACGAAATGATGAGGTAGGCTTTTTATCGCCTTTTAGGCAGATGCAAGTGCCTAACACTGTCGCATGCACAAACCATCAAATCTCTACGCGCAAACCCGGTTTGTCTTCTTCTTTCTTTTTTTTTTTTTTTTTTTTTTTTTGTTTGGAACCATAAGATCTTTACACCGTTCGATCATCTTATCAACATGCGTCTCCACTATTCACCATTCTCTATGGTCAAATGATATGAACCGTGGACTTGGTTTCCTAAGAGGTTTGTTTGGACCCGCTTTTAATATAACCTGTCTCAATATGGTGAGCTGTGTAGTGCGGGTCACTATCAGACTATATGCATTTTGTTATGGTCACGGTCGAATAACGAAAAATGTATATAGAGTTTGATAGATAACTCCAACTCTTAAGAAAGGTGGCATGTTTCTATTTTGTATTTGAGAAGATCATATCTACCGACTTCATATGGTTAGATTAGCTGATATTTTCTGTGATATCTTCTTATAAAGTATACCATAATTACTAACTAAAGCATGTTAAAAATGTGGGAATACATCTTTTGACACTGTCGAAAGAAGCATTGGAATAAGTGGGACTTCTAGGTCAGATCGATTCTTTTATAAGTAATAGTCCTAAGCAAATCAAAATATAGGTTTCAACGTGGTTTATTGGTTTCAACGTGGGATGCATGTGATTAAGACCTAATTAGACACAGTATAATGCAGAATTAGCGATTCTCTGTTAACCTTAAAAACAAAAAATATATTAAAAAATATGAGAGTTGAAGATTCTATGAAGTAGAGTATATTCTGTAACTTTCAGAAGAGATTGAGAAGTAAGAAGTAAGAGCAAACAATAAGACACCTTCGTTGACTTGTATATTGTAGTCGAGTGTTTGTACAAGACCATGACAAGGATCGGTGGACCATCGTATTTTTGCATTCCCATTTGCACTCTTGTGTTAATTTCAAATTACATTAAATACGCTGATCACATCATACTAATTTCATTTAGACATTTTCCTTGTATTATTTAGTCTATAATTTAGTTTTTTTTTTCTTTTTTGGTTTGAAATATAAGGATTCATTTATAATATTTTTACTCCTTTTTTCAGTGATTTTTATCACTGTTCGATTTTTTAAGTTTTCGTGGGTCTTTTCATGCTGATATTTCTCAAAAGAGCTGGCAAGATACATGTGACTGAAAAGGTTTTTTTGTTAAAGTAAGACTTTTGAGAATTTTTGTTTCCTTTTCTTCTACCTAACTGATCTCTGTAATATATTATAGTTTTAGTTTTCACTTGCACCTTAATTTGTTCATTTTCTGATATGTATACTATACTACTAGTTATACTTGTATTGGTAAAATGATCAACGGATTTAGAGTTAGAAACATAGGCATGTGAACTGTACATGAAGATAAACAACCCCACATAGGGTTGGTTGATCAAACTGTCCATCCAGTTTTGAATATTCCACAATCTTTTGTTGCTATCGGTTGTGAAATAATCGATATTAGTCAGTACTCCAATTATTGAGGTAATGAATTTTTACTTCTGGTCCAATATGAATGAAGAATTAATTAGATTAACATCATCCACACACCAAAGAAAGAAAGAGATTATCATCCAAAGTCAAAATTTACTTCAAAAGAAATATGAAAATTTAGACTGGCTAGCTACTCCATTCATATATTATCTTCAAGTAATAATTAATATTGTTATTTATTATAAAGTATAAAGTCATGAAAAAATAATTTGAAAAAGCGAAAAAGAGAAGATAAAAAAAAAAAACAGGACGATAATTCAAACTTTTTTTTAATTGGGAAATAAATATTATTTCAGGAAGTTTGCTTGACTAAAATTTTTTATTTTTTAATTTTATTAGAGATAGGAGAATTGTTTTGGTAGTAAACAAGAAAATATAAAACCATAGAATTAAGAAGGAATTTAAGAGAAAAAGAATTTACGAATATTTGAAATATACGGAAAAGTGTCTTTGGTCAAGTGGTTAATGGTACATTTCTGTGACGTTTTTTTTTTACCGGTATTCGACTCTACTAAAAGTCTAAAACTATGAAATTTATAGTGATTAGGAATTTTACAGCAGGTACTAATTATGTCATAATCACAGTGATTAAAAATGTCACGAGTCACACAATAAAAGTGAATGCTCTTATAATCAAAGGCTTTCAAAGTTGTCACTTTCGTGAGCTCATTTAGTCATTTATCTTTTTGCAGCATGTAACTAAAATTTAAAATCTGATTTTTTTTTATTTTTTATATTTTGTAAAACGTCAAGCTATTTATGAGTTTTTAAAAGGTCATGTATACAAGTGTTCATAATCAAATTTGTGACATGTTTCTGTAACGATACCTTCGAGCACACCAAAGGAAGAAGATGAGATTAAGAGTGCTTAAAGCGGCAATGAAGTAATAGAAATAATCCAACTTGCTTGTGTCAATATCATCCGTTAGCCAACTCTGTCTCCCTCCACGAGCAGTGACACTATGAACAATGCTCACCATCGCACTGCTTAGATAACTGGCTAGAGACAAACCTAAGTAAAGCAACGAGTTCCCTATGCTTCTCATGTTGATTGGTACTTGTTGGGTAAAGAACTCAGTGAGACCAACAATAGTGAAGACTTGATAAAATCCCATTAGTACTTGTTGCGGGGCTAGCCAGAAAACTGATATGTTCACCCCGGTAAGTGATAAATCTCTTCTCTTTCGCTCCAAAATACCCGATATGAACATCGTCGAGATGGAGAAAATATTCCCAATGCCGACTTTTTGGAGTAGAGAGATGCCTCCTTCTTGATTTGTAATGCTTTGAATGTGTCGCACCAAAACGGTTTCATAGAAGGGAAGCCATATGCCTATTGTTAATAATGATATTACGGTTATAGACGCAGGAGGGATTTGGTAAGAAGTGCCGAGAAATTGGAGGTCCATCTTTAGAGCTTGTGAGACTGTAAATGTTTGTTGTTGGTTCATAGCCAAGAATCCTATAATGCTTGAAGCAAATATTGGAATAATGCTGAAGACAGACTTTATAGCTTCTATCTGTCTCACTGTGCAGATTCTCCACTCCTCATTGGCTTCTTCGTTGTTCATCACTATCCCAGCTTTGTTCAAGAATCTGGAACCAAATTAGATAAATAAATTAAAAAAATCAGAATTTATAAGTAAAGTTTCACAACGATACTTTGTTATAAGTGTCATTTTTAATATTTTATATCCTCGCAAAATACGTCTAATTATATGAAACGAAGAGGGTAACAAAGGTTTACCTGAATTGGTCAGTGAGTACGAGTTTATTTGATTGCACATCTGTCTCTAGTAACGGTCGATAATACTCAATCTGAGAAGGAGACCTTTCATTGCGTTTCTTATAAGCAGCCACAAGAACCTTGACGATACCAGAAAACACACTTCCTTCAGGTTTGACAAAGACATAAAACCGAGTTCCCACGAAAAGCAGAACAAGAGCAAACAAATTGAGAACGGTCGGGATAGCGAATCCAATGGCCCAACTGATGTTGTTCTGTACGTACAACACTAGAGTCATTGAAATTAACTGGACAATTGTATGAGTTGTGTAGTACCAGCTGAAGAAGCTTCTTCTTCCTTCTCTTCCTTCTTCAGTCGAATCATCGAACTGATCGAGACTAAAAGGAACACTGCTTGAACGGATCCCTCCTGTTCCTACTGATAACAAGAAAAGCCCGGAGAGTAACACGTATAACTGCGAAGAGCTATAACGGATACATGTTCCGGTGATTTGATCGGCAGTACTACAAGGTGGTGGTCGTAGATTAGGGATCAGAGACGTGAACGTCAACACCGACATGCCCTGTTGAAGTTTTAACTCTTGTCACGTTCTAAACGTTACATGCAAAAAATATGGCATGAAACAATGTTTGCATATACATGTGGCAAAAGAAAAAAAGTTTTTTTTTGTAATAATATTATTCGCAAGAAATGTAAAAGAAAACGCAAACGTAAACAAGCAGATGACATCATATCACATGAAGTATCATCAAACATCAATTAAAATATCAGAATATTGTTTTACGTAAAATAAGTAAAAAAAAAAAGGAAAAAGCTTTACCAACAACTCAGCGATGGAACCAAAGACGATGGTGTTAAATTTTCCGGCGTATGAGTCGGAGATGAAAGCTCCAATGATAGGAGCAAAGTTGGTGAGAGCAGACCAAGTGTTGATTAAAGTTGCAGCTTGGACTTGGTCCATATGATATTCTCTTACCATATACACCATAAAATTAGCCATTAATCCAAATGTCGCAAGCCTCTCCAGTGTCTCATTCCCTACATCATCAAAGCCGTATCTTAAAATTTACAAAACAAAAAAACAAGAAACTAATACTTAGATTTGGACAGTGATTATTATAATTAAGTACCTATGATGTAAGGCATCGCTTTCCAACCAAGAGGCTTCCTTTGTCTCATCGTTGAATCCGAAGAAATTGCCCCTCCCTCATTATCCATGTTCATCTCTTCTAGTCGATCGTCCTCTATTAACTTTTTTTTGTACTGATGCAGATGCGTTCTTGTCCTAAGAGAAGCAAAGAGAAGTCTTTAGCATATATATATATAGAACAACTAAGACAACAACACATGGACATCATATAGAGTGGGAGAGATATATTTGCACAAATTTCTTTCCAAAATGGCAAAATCACACAATGACTAAGATTTAGATAAGTGGCAATTAAATATTTAACCAATCAGGTCAAGCTATGGGTCGCACAAGATCTAGCTATTTTGATATTTAGCAAAATATACTAGGAAAGTAGGAATACATTTGACAAATAAAAGTGGTGGTGACACATTAATATTAATAAAAATAATTAAGAGTATTTAATTATATTTAATAAAATTGTTAGGAAAATATTAACACACCCTGCAAAATGAAAATATAGGAAAAAAGTATTAAAAATAAAAAAAAATGATAGTGGAACATATAAACCTTTTCTTACCCCGTGATTAGTTGATTTGATTGGGTTTATCTTATTTTTATCTTATTTTTATCTTATTTTTATCTTATTTTTAATTGCGTGATTATAAGTTTTATAAAATAACATCTCCGATTCTGAGGGCGTGGTGGACAAGCATAATAAAGAGACCTATATAAAAGAAAGCCCTCATTTCCCAAAAACCTATCATCTCTACAGATTCACAATGGGTCGCAGAAGCTCTGGTGGTGGTAAATCTTACTATTCATTCCCTACGTTTCCTAATTTGTTCTTAATTTTGCTTCTTCTTTCTTACAATCCTTCAGTTCTAGGGTTCCTGATTTTATACAATTTCGTTTCATTTTTATAAGAAACTGTGACCCTTCTGTTTAAATTTACCTCTGTTTCACTCTGTTTTGGATTGAATATGAGATTTTTGATCTAGCTTAACAAATCAGATAGTCCCACTAAGCACATAACCCTTTTTTTTTATTTTGGAGACATAACCCTAATTATTTTTTGGAGACATAACCCTAATTATTTTTTTGGAGACATAACCCTAATTATTTTTTTGGAGACATAACATAACCCTAACTTAGGTTAATTCAATTACCATTTTGATTGCAGGAAGTCGATCATATTCAACTGGAACAAGTTGGCCTAAATCTCGACCTTGGTCATCTAAGAAATCGTCTCCTAAGCCTGGTAATTAAAGAACACTTCTCACTGACATTTGAATACATATAAAAAATTATATGTTGTTGTCATCTCTCTAATGTTATAATTTTCTATGCAGCTAAAGCTAAAGATGAGAAAGCACCTCCTCCTGAAAAAGTTAACGTTGTATCTAACTCTGGAGGTTTTAGGGAATCCATAGCTGTTGGTATAATCTTTACTTAATTAGATAAAAGTAAATTTGATCTTATTTTTTCTTTTCTTTTTTCAATTTATAGTTGATGATCTTCTTGGTGGAAAATTACTAGGTTTCAATTGGGGTTTTGGAAATGCGATGGGACACAGATTTGTTGAAGCCATCTTTGGTCCTCGAACCATTCGAACAGAAACTGTAGTACCAAAGAAAGATAAAGAAGTTGCTACTGTTTCTGCTTTGGATGATAACGAAAAACTCAAGGATTATTCTGAAACTTGCAGCATCAGCTATAATGCCTTTCAAGACGTAAGACGACTCACAACAAAATCCATTATTTATGATCTTGTTGAATCATTTTACAAAGTTCTTTTTGTTTGATGTGTTTCTTCTATATGGTATTGTTGCAGTGTTTGAATGTTGAAGGGAATAATCTAAGCAAATGTCACCTCTTCATGGATTCGCTGTTCGAGTGCAAGAGGAATTCGAGTTCCTTCAACTTATAAGTTCTTCTTTCTTTGTTTTGTGTTTTTTCGAATAAAACAAGAACCAAAAAAATAACAATTCTTGCTTTTTGGTCTCAGCTCATTTGATTATGATGTTTGCTTTTTCTTGGATGATTAATCTCCAAAGTCTATGAAACGTATGTTTCGGTTTAAAATAAAGTCGTTTATTTTGTGTCTGGACACAATTAAGTTTTCATTTGGTTTTATTAAACCAACATTATATCGCAAAGTTTACGTTGGGCCTCTTTTGATACGGCCCATATTGGTTGGACTTCGGCTGTTCAAAAGATTGAGACAAACTGTGTTTTCATTTGGACAAATAATACACACACACTTCTCTATTTCGCGAATAAAATCTCGTTTAAAAATATAGAGTCGATAGCAATTAATTTTATTTTATATAAAGTTAGATCTTAATAAGATTACACAACAAAACAATTTATAAAGAATAATGCTTTAAGAAAAAAAATATTAACACAAATCTTTACCATTGGTACATGGAATCAATTACTAGGTTCCTTCAAAATTTTAATAATAAAAAACTACGTAATATTCTTAATCATCTAATTGATACATACGACCGAAACAGTCCTAGAATGTAACTGTAGTTTTAACATTAAATATTTTAATTATAGTTTTAAAAACATCTGTTGTGCTTATACAGTACTACACATGAAGAGTGCAAAAATAGCATAAGAGGTTGACAAATTGATGATGATTTCTATACAAATTGGAGATTGTTATTACTTATTAGATGTTATTTTATTAAACCGGAAACTACATTTAAGGCCTTGGCCTAATTACAGAAACGAACCCCATAAAATTTGGTCAGATGCTGACTTGGCCAAATTTATCAGCTACAAATCAAAGTGACAAACAAAGAGATAAAGATAAGTTTTGAGGGTTTTCCAGATAGAAGTGTTGACTCGTTATATCACATTCTTACCTTTTATAAGTTTATCTGTTCTCTACTTTTAAAATCTTTTTTGTTATGTAACAGGTGGATAAGCTAAAAATAATGTACACGAACTATATTTTTGACTCTAATGCATTGATATATGACTCTAATGACTCGAAAAATAATGTACACTCTAATGTATATGTAAATCGAATTCTCTAAAAATCAAATTGTTTTCAGAATCAATTCGAGGTATACACTGGCTGTTATATACAACCAATTCGAGGCCAAAACTTTATATATGCGACAGTGTCAGATATAAATTGATAGAGAATGAAAATTCATAATTTGCCCCAAAGAGAGTGGTATATAAAAATTATTCCAAGATTCACAAAAATTGTAAATCACTCGTAATAAAGTAAAAGTACCGTTGCTTCTTCTAAAATTTTATAAATGTTTTTCTGATAACACTGTAAATAACAAGAGCCACGAATTGCGAGAATATCAAATCCAGTGATCGTAACTGATCGTATATTTTGGTTATCAAAAAAACACAAAGCAAACCTATTGTATCTTTTATGCAGCTACATAATATTATATTACTTCCACCAATAATGTTACATATTCTCGTGTAAAGTTTCACATTCATCATACACATGTATTCCTCTTGCGTTTGAGCTAATCGAGAGTTTTGTTATACGGCCTTAAGACCGCCCCATGCGACGGAGAGATTGTTGAGTTATAACGTGGCGATTGGAAAATGGGTTTTGTCGGGTAGTGAGGAGATTGGTCCCATGTAACCACGTTTCTTTTGAGTTTTGAGGATAGAATCCGAACCGAACCATTTGGACGGTGGGGATTAGATAAACTAAGTTTTGTATACTATTTTAGAAGTTAAAGTAACAACAAGAGGCAGATAAGATATTGTGATGAGGGAGAGGTGGTGGTTTGGATTCTGTTCTCTGTTGCATGCTTGCTTCAAGTGCGTACATATACATCTCTTTACCTTTGCGACAGAATAGTTGACTTTACTCGACTTGTCGGGTTCTTCCAAATCCTTCAAGCATATTTTACGGAAATTTTTTAATATTTGTGGTTGGTTTAGTTTACTCTTCTTCTTTTTTTTTGTTATTCGAGTTTCTTTAAAACAAAAATTTATTCTGTTTTAGATATTTTTGGATTCGATTTTAAAGTATTTTGATTGATACGTACCGTTTTATGCAATAACATCATCTATCGTCATAACTAATAAGATAGACTATGGATGAAACCAATCATATAAATGCGATATGTGTTATTGGCGTATCCGCCTACTATATGAGTAACAAGCAAATACATATATATTAGCCTATCCAAAAATTGCGGCTACTATTGATATAAGACATTTGCAACATGTACTTTAAAGCTTTGTGCATCTTTTAAATTAACATAATTCAGGACGAACTCTATGTATGTAAATATTTACTTTTCTTTTGTATTTCTTATCTGTTAATTTGTCAATAGCTTAGGACTTTCTCCAACTTACTAATTTTATAGAGATTCTATATCTCTCTTCTGAGTTCTGAGTATATAATAACATTGATTAATGGAATGAATAGGCGAGGGAATCATCTCTACTTTTAGTAATATACTAAGCTAGTTGGTAAGGCAAAAAAATATTTATCAAGGAAAAAGAAATGTAGTTAAATTAAAAATTATGGATCCGATTGTAGTACAAGAATTAAAGGATGATGTTAAAAAGCTTTTGAGTTGTATAATTTCCCATACCATATATTTTAGTAGATGTATCATGAAGATGTTAAGAAAAGTTTTGTAGATGTAATTAAGAGTAAAATTTCTAAAAATCAATGTATAAGGATAATATAGCATGAATTTTTCAGTGACTTTTTTTCTGCATAAAAAATAGTTTCGTCAAACTTATACGATCACTATCATCATAAAAGTATTTTAGAGATATTATTGAACGTACGTACCTACAAGAAATCTCTTTCACAGCGAACAGAAACAAACAACTAATCCTCATGTTATTGTGTAAGAGTCAACTTTGAATTATCCACACATCGAATATTATTCGTGAGCTATATAAAATTTTAACGTGGCATTATCTAGCTGGGGCTAAGACTCAATATGAATCCATGGTAAACTCATTTGCAACCACATCTTGATCTTGACCTCTTCTCATTTAATTATTTGTTTCGGTTGATAATTAGTAAAATGAGAACTCTTTTCAAAACCTCAACTAGTGGATCATGTGTTAACTTATGTGTACATTTTGACAAATTGTCATTAAAGTGGATTATACTTCTTTGGATTACATATATGGTATGATTATTTGGTTTGACTAGGACTCTAGTACTAGGTAAAATACTCATGAAGTCATGATATCTATAAGAATAAACGAACATACAATAAATTGAAAAAAAAAAAATCTTTTCTATAACAGTATCTTATTTTTTTTTTAACATTATGTATTTTTAATCTAATAATTTAAAAGAAAACGAGGATACTTTACGTCGAAGTAGAATAAATGTTGATCATTGGTTTTGATTAGAAAATTCATATGTCTTTCAAAATCGAATTATTGGAAATAGAAACAATTTCCCATGAAAGCCAACTTTTGATATTACTCATTAGTCATTGTACAAAATCATCATGTTTTGTTTTAGATCATCAACTTTAGATCTTCTAATGTTTTGTTTTAGACAATGACTTAATGAGTGCTGCTGACTAAGCTAGACCGTCCAATAATTCAGGTACAAATAAATATATGCAAAATTTTAACATTATACAACTTTCTAACCTATATCATTGGTTATGCAAGTCTGCATACGCCTGCAAGGTTGGCCCCAAACTTTAGAACTGATAATATAAGAAATATATAAAAGAAAAAAAAAGAGTATTCATAAAAATTAATAAAACTATCCCAGCTTCAAGTCAGGTCCATGAAATTGAGAAGTCAGCGGTCAAACATATCACAGCTCATATACAGACGATTTTTTTTGTTTATTATATATAAATATGAAAGAAGAAAAAGATATAAATTTCACGGGCAGTCCAAAAGACTTTGGGTTATGAAATATTTCGTGTATTTTAATACCAATTTGTTGTATGCTTTATGAAAAGAGAGAAAAGAGTTGTAAGAAAAATATGAAAACGAAAGAAATAATATATCATAGAAAAGAGAGGGTCGGTCACTGCCACAATTAAGCAGAAGTGGAGAATGGTTGGTATTTGTTGTGTCCTTCAAACCTCTAAAAAGCTTCAATTTGAATATCTTTTTGTTTTATTTTCCAGCACGGTGTACCTTTTTTAATGATTTTGTTAGGTATTTTATACGATTTTATAATTGAAAACAATGTTTTTTTTGAACAGCTGAAAAACAATATTTTCTACAAAATTATAAAAATATGAATTTGCTCGAGTCTTCAACACTTTGGTGAAGAAATTCATTTATCTTATCGTGTGGTACGATTAGTCAAATTTTCAATAACTGTTTATAAATGAACCCACGTATAGTTAAATCTTGGAAAATAAATATTGCGGCTATATATATATTTCAAGATTTATATAATTCACCAGAATATTGTAATTCTCATTGACAACTGTGGCCTATATGGTTTGTTGTTTATGTAATTAACCACAACAATAAAGTCTTGAGGAGAAAAAAGTTTGTAATAGAGACTGAACAAGGTTTTGTATTAAAATTCCAAAATGGAGAGGAGATAAATCAAGAAATCAAAATAAATTATTTGCATGGATAAGAAAACACGACACTTGTCTATGCAACTTGTGTTTCTTTACTTTGCATGAGATCACTTTAATGTTAAAGTCTTCCCAAACAGTATTAGATTCTTCGTTTATAAAAAGACCCTCGTGGTCATGGTCGTTAAATTGAGAGCCTTGTGATTTTGAATCATATACTTCGACAAATGTACACGTACTAGACACATATACGTATATGGCACTGAAAATAATCAAAATATTCAATTCTGAAGAATAGTATAATAGCACTAGCGAAAAGAAGAAGAAAAAAACATTAGTTAAAAGTTTCAGCATATTCTTGTATCTATTCCATGTTAATGGTTATATTTCTTAATCGCAAGTAGCTCTTTTAATGTCTATACGAAATTTTAATTTGAATTTTTGGTACATCGACAATACAAATAAAAATATTTTAGTTTATACAAATGATAAAAATTTAAATGAACTTTTTTCTTCTCACTGTGTGTAACAATAAAGTTATACGTAGTCTACACG